CAAAGAGAAAACCCAAACTAAAGCAATTTGTTTATGTATATCTATCTATCCATCTATTGAAGGACACGTGTTTAGTGTTAGTTTCTTCTGCTAGATAACTTTTTCTGTTCTTTACATTTTTGCCAGAGGATTTTCAACAATTTTGAGCACTCCAACCAGAAATTTGTTAAAAAAACTAAATACAAGAAACATCAACAAGTTGAAGAAAATCAATTAGAATGAAAATTCGATTTCGAAGTTGTTTAACTGAAATACAAAAAAACAAAAGAAAGAAAAAAAAAACATGGCCAATACCACAACAATAATAAAACGAAAAAGACGCAAAGCAAAACTGAAAACCAGCTAAAAGAAATGGAAATTGTGCAGCACGGCATAAACGTTGAGGAAAGGGGTCGAAGGCAAAGTATAAAGTTAACTATTTTTAAATATTATATATATACATATATACGAGTAAAGTTAAAAAACAAAAGCAAACAAAAAAAAAACATAAGCATGTAGCATATTGATGCAAAATGAACATTAGATAAATAAAATGCTTCGAAAAAATTTAAAAAAAAAAAAAAAAAAAAAAAAAAAAAAAAAAAACAAGTTAAAAAGCATAAGTAAAATTAAAATAAACTACAATATTTAGATTAAGTAATAGTTAAAGCATAGATCAAGCGAGGTTAGTCAAATATACATATGACAAATACTTAAGTTATAAACTAATATATTAATAAACAAAAAAAGGAAATGAATTTTTAAACGAAATTTCAACAAAGAACAGCAAAAAGTTAACAGCAAATTCGTGCGTAGCGTAAAAAAAATCAATTCAATTACAGATATACCCTACATACAAGGAAATTAATACTAACAAAATACTTGCCCACACACACATACACAATCACACGTTTATATGTATTTTATTTTGCATACAGCTTACAGAACGAGCCGAAACAAAAAACAAAAAGAAACTATAAGAATAAAATGCATAAATCCTCCAGCAGGAATACCCCTCATGCAGAACCCATACCAATTACGCTGTAAACGAATTCTAATTTCTTGTGTCACATTGACATGCTTCTTATATAACAAATATTATACAATTAGTATATATGCGATTAGTATATATATTAGCATTAGATCAGGGCATTATCATACACTTAGCGAATCAAAACAAAATACAATACATATATATATATACACATAATTTTTTTTGTTAGCCTCGTAAGATTTTATAGTGTATGCAACTTACACACACACACACACACATACACATACACAGCTGCTAAGGGCTATGCACAAATGCAAAGGTCTTCCTTAATCTTAAAAAAAAAATAAATGAAAATACCAATAAAAAAACACACACACACATAAATATATATTAAATCAAACTTACTTACCTAAAACTAAACACAAAAAAAATTTAAACCAAACTTAAAATATAAAATTAAAAAAAAAACAAATTTGCATGAATATTTAACTAACTATTTGAGCTAAACTGTTTTTAACTTAAAACGAGCAAGACATAAATATATATAAATATACACAAATATATACACACACACATATATGTTTACATAACTGTTAGCCGTCTGTTAAGCAAACACAGCAGAGCTTTTAGCGTCGTCTAGCGACTGCACATAAAGCTCTGCCCCATCAACTACAGCTATAAAACTGTTCTATTCTTTGTCACAGTTGGCAGAAAAAAGCTCAACAGCCATAAAACTGTGCTTTTGGTCTAAAGCTTGCGCAATCCAATCAAAAAAGATGTCGAAAGTGAGCTTTCGCTATTGTAACGGTAAACGAAAAGAGAGCGAAAGTGTTTCATAAGCTTTGCGAACTTTCAGCCAAGCCTTTTATGATTTTTCACTTTTTTTTTATTATAGATTAAATTTTTTCAATTCGATATTATTTATTATTTTTTATTTGTATTTGTCATTTTATATTTTATGTAAAATTTTAATTTCTCTCGTTCTTTTTTTTTCTTCATTCATTTATCGCTTTCATGACAAGCTTTAATTTAGCATTTTTTCTATTGCCCTTACACATATAATTTTAGTATATTCTGTTCTTTTGGTATTAGCAATTGGTGATCTTATTTTTGACCTCTACATATGGACTTTTCGCAAGCTTTCCTTGGACCCCGTTAGACGGCTAACATCTGAACTAATTCTCTACTTATAAATACTTGTTAAACCAAACATTTAAATTGCTTAAAATATGCACTTAAACTAAACCCAAAACTTAAATAAAAACGAAAACTAAAAACATACACAAATAAAAACAAAATTAAAAAAAAAAAAACTTTAACTTTAACTACATTTTGCTTAAATACTAAAGCCAAATTAATGTCAGATTGCATTCAGGCTACTGCGAATTTACTACCAAAAGCAATTAAAATAAATAAAATTAAAATTAAAATTAAATTTTCTAAAATTAAAAAAAAAAAGAGAGTAAATCTGAAGCCAAACAGAATCAATAAAAAGAAGCAGAACAACAACAACAACAACAGCAAATAAAGGGTAATTTTTCCTCGTAGTATTTTTGTTGTACGATTTTTTTCGTTTCGAAACCTAATTGAGATAAGTTATTTAAATTTTTATATGAAATGTAACAACAACAAAAAAGAAAAGCATAAAAACAAAAACTTAAATAATCGTTTTTGATGAACTTTTTTTCTAGTCTGAGGTACATTTTAAATATATGTATGTATTAATAATGTGAATGGTTTCATACAAGAAAAAATAAACACTCACACACTCACATAAAGTATTCCGAAACAATAAGGAAATTCAAGAAAAGCCCAGAGATCGAATTTGTAGTTGAAATAAAACCAAAAATTGGCCCTAGAAACTCTGGAAATTGACTTCAGTTTTCCGTTTAGTTATCCTCACTTCTTTCTCGAACAACTTATGAAGTAACTTTCATATACATATTACGAGTATGTATAGACAATCGCCCGATATAATATGAACTATAAATATCATTTTGACAATAGTGAAACCAAGAGCAGCAAACGTTTATGAAACTACTATTTCTAAAATCCTATCTATATACATATATATATATATAGTGAGTAAATCAATTGAAAAATTATGATTTTTCAATATTCATTTCACTTTTTTCTTGATACTTTCGAATGATTTCATTTTGAGAAGGATTAAAAACAAAATTAATAAGAAAAAAAGAAACGAAAAACTCGAATGGCATCTATGAGTATTTGTAAAAGGCTTACTCAACCAACTCAATGAGCACCTCAACTTTATTCGGTTTCCAACTAATGAAAAACAAAATCTATGAATATGAATCAAGTCTATTGCTATATATACCTATATATACATACATATATGAAGTGAGGGAGAAATTGAACTTGCTTTACGTATAGTATTGCCACTGAGACATGGCAGTTGCACTCTCGCTCACCAGGCACTGGCTTAACTAATACGTGTACCTATACTTATCTCTATACTCAAAACACGATCTGTTGATCTATTCAGATAGGCGAACACGCTTTGCTTCACACACATACACACACACACACCATATCTCTAGGTAGAAATGTTCTCTTTCAATACAGAGTGATTTGGCAACACGTAATGCCCAAATATTTCAAATTCATATAGATTCAAGATCTATAACGATTTCAGATTCATTGCTCAGATTTAGTTATACCATTCTACTCATATATAGCAATCTTTCATAGATTCTAAAAAGTTCAAGACGTCTGCATAACGAGCTCAGATTCAGAGCTCCGTTTTATAGGAGATACATAGAATCTATATATACATTCCATCTGTTAAAATATAATACCCATGCTTGATGCACAATTCATAGATTCCAACATTCCTATAGATTAAAGATCCAAAGCGATATTCAATACTCATATATTCATTATGCATCTATTTTTTGCATCTATTATTATTATCATCAGATATATATATTTTTTTTGTTGAGATTATCTTTGTTCTTTCTTGATGATTCGGATTCTTGGCATGTTATAATCCCCATTTGAAATAAATAGAAATATACTAAAAACGTTGGTGTAAAGCAAATATCTAAACTAAATCTATAAGATGACAAATACACACACACACGCACACAGAAAGAGAGAGACACTCAAAATGTATATAGTATTAGTGTGTGTGGTTTTTTTTTTTTTTTTTTTTTTTTTTTGTTCGTGATGAGTTAGATATTAAGCATTAGGCTAGGCCGCCTACAAGACAAGTGTATTAGCTCTAAGGCAACTTCATCTGAGAAAAGAAAAGATAAACAATGTTTGCAAAAAAATTAAGCCTAAGTAAGTGCTAAATGAAAACAATAAATAAAATGTAAAAGCCAAAAACAGAGCAAAAGAAAAGAAAAGGAAAACAATGTAATTTTAATATACTCACATGCATATGACATAGGACATACAACTAAACATTATTTAAAAAAAAAAAAATGAATTAAAAAATACACTTAAGCACAGTCGCTCGCTAAAAAAACAAAAATAGTTTAACACAGTAAACAGTAAACTCTTGAACGAAATAGCCGTAAAAAAAAATAATAATAAAAATAAAAAATATTATGTTAAACTTAACAGGCTAACAGACGCAACTGAAAGCCAGATATATTCTCTATATATATAGACTATATATTTAGCCAGGAATTGAAGCTAGACTCAATTGAATGTTTTCTTATTTTCATTAATATGCCCAAAACTCAGCAGGCAAAAAAAAAAAATAAAAATAAAAATTTTTTTAATGAAACATGCGGAAATTTCAATATTTGTGGTACTTCGTTGACTTCATTCGTATATATAAATAATAAGAGCCAAGCCTCATTTTGCAATGGCTTTTCCAGATTTTGTAAAGCTCATGAAAAATCATTATATTTAAATTGTATTTTAAGCACATTTTCAAGTGAAATGAACGCGCGAAAATTCAAATTTACTTTGTCGCCTTATAGATATAGGGACATTTCTTCAGTCGTACTTTTGTGCCAAAAATTTTTTTATTTTAACAAATAGTGAATCTTATAGCAGTTGATTAGCGCTATAATTAATGGGAT